GAGAGAGAGGGAGAGAGAGCACGGAAAGTATTGTGCAACAGCCAGTGACTGAGGTTGATAGTCTAAACAGTGAACACAAACAGAAAGAACTACAATCTAACATGGGTGATTGCAGTGTGGCAAAACCAATGTGACTATTTCGATTTTTTTTGCTGCATTGTTCTGTTGAATACTTACAAGGAGTCTATTGTTGTTTGAAGCCTGGAGCAACCAAGCTTATCTTTTGACAGAAAGAAAAACTGCCATCAAACAACAAACAGACTTGAGGGAGGCAGATGTATGTAGCCTGACCAGCACATTGATCCACATTTTTTTTTTCTAGTAATGACACCATCTCTAGAGTAGCACACTCAGTGCTTACTGGAAGTGACTCATTTAGCAAGGCCCCAGACTCTGATTTAAGGTTTCTCGATATGTTTCCATGGCTAGGATGGAAAGGCATGTCAATGGAAGGCCTGTCTATCTGTGGTGATGTTTCCCCTTTCAACCCTGTGTGTGTGTTTTACTATAGCCAAATATGGTCAGTGAACAGAAGGAAGGAGAAGAGGAAGGAAGCCAAGAAAAGAGGATGGAAGGGCATTCAAAGTCAGCATTTTCAGAGTGTTTTGGACCATTTTTTGAACTGGTTTTACAGGAAGAGTTTCCCCTTACAGAATCTTTGGGGAGCTGCATCTCTCTAGCCTCAGTGCAGATGGTTTCTGCAGACCTGCATAAGGATGCTGCATGGATCACTGTGAAATGTGTTTCCAGTTGTACTGTAGGTCAACTGTTAGGAAAGGTAATTATGCACACAACATGTGGAATCCATTTGGGGTGCCTGTGGCATTCCACTGGCTCTTTGGCTTTACGCAACCGAATGTAGGCTCATGCAATGGACCATAACTCCTCTCAATTAGCTGCTTCAACCAGGTATCGGCACGGCACAGCATCAGTTGAAAAAGAGAGGAAAAATAATCGAAGTAAAGGCGTGAGTAGATGAGTAATAGAGGTAAACACAGCTGCTGGCTTTTATTGAGTGGTGTTGGAGAGCTGGAATGGGTCAAACCAAGAGGAAAACTCATGAGCGAAAATAACTGTGCGCACATTTGATGTAACAAGTGTCAGTGTGTTGGAATGTTTTGGTTGGTCCGTTATTGTCTGTTTCCAAGTGCAGTGCTTTAGGATGGATTTGGTCTTGTCAGCACAAAGTGAGGTTAGATAGGGTAGGCGCTTCACGATGCTGCGTCAAGACGATTCTGCAAGACCATTAAACACTAAGTAAAATGCATGTGTGCTGGTATGTTT